GACGGAAGGGGGGTCCTCCTTACAGGCACTCGTAGCTGTTAGTTGAAGTCTTATCACCCTTTGGCTTATACTCGTACTGTCAGAAGCAGCAGTAAAAGCATCTTCTCCTTCTTATATTTCAGCTGTCAAAAAGGAAAACCTGAGAAGACAGTATGGCAGGACAGAGAGAGTGAAGGGAAAGTGTGAGACTAATGAACTGAGGGACTGAAAAAGAAAGCAGAGAAAAGTCAAACCAAGAGGGAAAAAATAACGTATAAAAGTCTTATGGTCCTCAAAATCAGAAGAAAATTTTGCAAGTGTGTACTTGTTATTCCAATATAATATTCTGGTGAGAAATGAATCTACTCAAACCTTTCTCGCATGAAGATTGCACAAAGGCAAAGTACAGCTTTCAAAGATATAAAACTATATCTAATCATGATTAAATGTGGCAGAAAACACCTAGTAATCAGCTACATAGCACAAGGGGAAATTTCTTTAACATTTGAAACTAGAAAAATGATTGAGTTAAAAGTGATTTAGATATGGAATGAAGTTGATGCATTTCCATCTTCTTTCTTTGAGCCTTTAAGATCCTCTCTTTGCAGTGAGGTTCCAGCTTTGTGGTTATGCATGCATGTATTTGCTAAGGAACAACATATTATTTCTGGACCATGGCTCAATTCTTAAGAAATACAACAATACAAATAAATACTAATTTATAGATAGGGGTGGTACTTTACGTTTAGATGAAAAGCCAGAAAAATGGAGTCTTACCTCATATTAAAAGCTCTATCTTGCCCTGCAAGCATTATTTTGATCAGGCAACTATATTGCTTTTTTTTTTTTCTTTTTCCTTTTTTTTTTTTTCCTCCCTCTTTTGTTGGACTAGGGCTTGAGATCTAGAGTTATGAACCAGAAAGACCCCATATTCAAACACAATAATATTTCTCAATACATCTAACCAATATTTTTTCTATTTTATTTTCTTCTCTTCTTTTTACCCCAGCAACAATGGTTTGAATCCCTTGAAGAGGCTTGAAGTGACTGTGTCCTGTTAGATGAAGAGGGATATATCTCAACGTAAGAGATAGACCAAAGGTCTACTGAGTAAGGAGGTATACAAAATGGATCCCGTGAAAGGATTTCTCTAAGCTCAAAGGATGTTTAGGGTTAGTAAAATGCTTTTCCAGGCAGTTTTTGTTACATTTTCCTAATTTGCATAAGCTTTGTGACTTTGATAGAAATCTACATATGTCGAAAACCCTTTGCAGACTCTGTCCTATTTACTTGCATTGTCAGGTAGCTCTCAAATGGGAAGCAGCAAACCCGTAAAACAGTGAAGTCCATAATCTAGTGAAACCCAGGGAGAGGTGATCTCCACAGGCAGAACCAGTTTTATGGCCTGGTAAATTGAAGAGGGAGCTCTTCCCTGTTGCGGAGTGGGCCCTGCCTGAGAGGCCTGGGCACAGGTACTGGGGTCAGTGCAGCCCCAAGGATCCCTATGGGAACAGCTGAGGATGGTGGCTGTTCTAACTGAACTTTGGGAGGCTTCCCACCTTGCAGTAACACGCACAGATGAATATAAAATTTCCAAATGAATGCAGCGTTACATTTTCTTTCTTTCCTGACACTCTGATCCCAGTAACTACTTTGCTGCCTGGCAGGGAAGCTGTGTTGACTAAACAGCTTTCATACAACCACAAAACCACTTCAAAGTCTGAGAAAGAAGAAAGACCATGTATCTGGCTGACAAAGATCCTGTAACGAGGGGTTTGCATCCTGTATATCCAGCCTGGGATTAGTGACTCAGAAGGGCCTAGCTGCACTAACACACCGCATCAGCTGTGACAGGCCCCACCACCAGCAGCTGACCCCCAGAAGGTGCCACAGATGTCAACCAAGCTCTCTTCTAAGGAAACAATGTTCCCCTGGGTAAAGACATGATTTTGGGAGGATAAACTTCAGATCCATGCAGTGGAGAGCCAGGCTGAGCTGAAGAGTGGGTGGCAGTCACAGCAAGTGTGTACCCATGTTGAGGGGTGCCCACCAAGCTTGGCATCATGGAGAGGATCCATGGGGGTTCAGAGCTCCCATTAGCAGAGCTGGGCATGGAAAGAAGGGTCTATCCTAAGGGTCCTGGTCTTTGGTAAGACCTTTAATTCCCTTTCCTCCTTCTCCAACATGCCTGCTTCACTGGTAGTGGGGCAACTGGTGTAGAAATTCCCCATAACAGTGAAACAATGGCAGAAGCTCCAAACATGAGTTCATTCCTGTATTTGCAACCTAATTATAGAGTCTGCCGATGGACAATAAATACACAGAGATCCTCAAAGACCCAGTCAGATTTGTATTAGCAATGGCTGATTTGGACTGCTGCATGTAAATACCTCTAAACTATGTAAAAGCTGCTATCCTGATCATTTTCTAGGAAACAAAACAAAAATTTTCCCAGGCAGCTATAAATGCATTTAGCAGCCTTTGACAATAGACCTCAAATTGCCTTTGTGAGGGTAAGCATTATTACCTCTGTTTACAGGGAGAAAGCAAGGCACCCAGGGAAGAAATGACTCCCTCAGGTCACGGAGCGAGCCGTTGCCAGACATGAGAATATAAGTTAGTTCTTGTCATTCCACAGCCCTGTCTTCTGATTCATGTCTCCCAGATTAAGATCTGAGGTCAAGCATATCATTATTATGCAAACATTTTTCCCCTTGGAGGAAACTCAGGTCAGGATTATAGATTTGGGTCAGGAGCTTGAGCACAGATGTAATTTTTACCCACATATGAAAGGCATTATTGTGAAACACTTAGCAATCAAAATACATGCCGTGTACCTAATATCAGTGTACAGAAGTGAGGGGCTGAAAAATCAGGCAACAGAACAGAAAACAACACCTTGGCATCACCATTATGGCCACACAGTACAGTTCCTTGGGTCTGTCCCTATAGAGTGTGCTTGAAATGAGCATAGGGTTTCAAACAGAAAAGAAGCAAGAAATGCCTTCAAAGAGCCCAGATGATGGTGATGAGGTTATGAGAAGCAGTATCTTGTCTTTCTCAGAGGAAGTGATGCATGGCCTTTTTGCTGATTTTTGCTTGCTCTGGTTTAGCATGTAGGTGCTCCTGTTGCATTAAAAATATAATTTTTTGGACAAGTGAAGCTATTCAAAATAGAGAAGTGATTTTATGACATTTCAGCACTCCAAACAGTACTTACAAGCTGGCCACTTCAAACAGAGCCCTTGGCAGAACTGGATCTTCCAAAGGAATCTCAGCCTTCACTTTCCCTGTTTCTTTCTTCAGCACACAATGTTTTCCTTGCAATAGCTACATTCAGTATTTTGAGTAGTGGTTTGTCCACTACTACTACCTTGCAGATGAGCTATCTTGAACATATGTGTACAAGTTTTTGCCATTTACTTGGAAAATCCTTGCTGTTACATTTTCCAACTGCCTCAACCTCAGCAATTGCAAGCAAATGAGCTAATTTGTCACAATCAGCATAACTGTTGCTTGCACATGTCCACCTGTATGGAACAAATTGCAGACTAAATGTCTGAGTTCAGCAGTGAAGGGAGTGAACTGAGGACACCTGGAATATAAACCACACCATATTGCTATAGACTAGGACCAGATCCTTTGGTAGCTCAAGGAAAAAAATTGTTTTTGTTCCTTTCAAGGTAATGTGTAATTCTGGCTGGCATTTCCCTTCAGATTTTTGCTAAGATCAGTGTTTGCAGTTCCAGTTATGTGATATTTTTCAGGTCAGTTTTTAATTCTGCCTCTCTGCACTGAATTTTTTGACTTCTTTTCTTGAGATTTAAACAAAACACAACAAACAAACAAACAAACAAAAAAACAACAGCCAGCTTAATTGTACAGTATACTGAAAAAGTCACCTAAAACAAAATAATACCAAAATCACCTGCCTTTTGTGGTTGTCTTACTTGAAAAGGTTATGCAGGTATAGTCAGTAGATGTACTGAGATAAAAACAGCTTCTTTTCAATATGTGGGTGTTTATTCCAAATAACATCACAGACAAGTGTTATTTTTTTTTTTCATCATATTAGTATATATGTTTAAAAGAAGGAGAGAAAAGAAGTGTTTGTTTTCAGTCTGTAGCAGCTTTCCCAGGGTAGCTGATCAGAACAGAAGGGATCCAGCAGTAGGTGTACGGCAATGTCTTTTAAAGCTCAGCATTACAGAAATGCTGTCACACAATGAAATGTGGTAATGAGGGCTACCCAGAAAGTTAATCTACTCCAGAGCAATGCAAAGTGCAAGCAGAGACATCACCAATGCAGAGCAGAGAAAGTGCCATAAATTCTTCCAGAAAAAAAAAAAGGTATATTCGCCCTTCCCCCCCCCCCCCCTTTCTTTTTTTTTTTTCCAGGAAATCTCAATTCTGTTAAAATTAATTTACAGCTTAGTTTATCTACGGTTCATGTGAATGCTTCCATTCCCTGCCAACAAATGCTGTATGTCATATGGGACTTTGTCTTCTCCTATTCATTGTTTTCACAGTTGTAAAAATCAAGGCTGTTCTGAATTGGAGAGTCATGATAAAATGGATGGCAATTATACAGCACAGAGAGTAATCAGAGAGATGGCTTTCTTCTGTAGGGCATTTTGTTTCCATTGGATTCCATTGGATAGAAATCCCATTTAAAGTCCCATGGTATTTATTCAGACTTGACTTCCGTTAATCTCAACAACTACTTTCAAAGTTTTACAGTTTTTCAAAGTTTTCAAAGTTTTTTAGTAAAGCTCTAGTTTTATCTTGAAATGGAAAGTTTCCATCTTATTAAAACTTTTTTTTTTTTTTTTTTTTTTTTTTTTTTTTTTTTTTTAAAACATAACGAGACAAGGGGCTTGGGAAAGGAGAGGAAACTGCTGTCTTTTTTTTTTTTTTTTTTTCTGTGTCAGACTCCCTGATGGCCCAGCAGTTCCCTATTTACCTTATTATGGAGTAGTTAGCAGGCTGTAAATCTCACTGATGAGCCAGAAACCTTTCTGTGGGCAACTTGGTTAGCTTCAGAGTCCCATAAATTCTCCAAAAAACAAGGCAGCCTTCAAGGATGGTAGGAAAAATGCTGTTCATAACTGAGACATCCAGTTATAAAAAGCTGGAGGTATTAATAGTGAGTAGGTTTATTAGATTTGTAGACTTCAGCAAGCAGGGAAGGGCTGGAAACATTTTAGGAGATGGGATTTTAATTCCAAATGTTCTTCCTTAAATACAGGTATGGTCTGCAGCAAATAAAAGGAGGCTCAGCTGGGACAAGTGATAGTTAAGCCACTTTCGAAAGTTAGTGGCCAGCTGTGCAAATGCAAGTCAGGAGTACACTGGCAAGCAGCAGCTCAGCAGAAGTGGTTTGTGTTTGATGGTGAATCAGACAGTAAATGGCATGTTGTTTCATGAGAAGAAAATGCCATTCTGGGTTGCATAAATGGGAGTGCAGGCTGTAGAGGGGCAATTTTTCCTCTCAAGGTGAGGTATTGCCTAAAAACCACTATGCCTGCAGTGCTGGTTTGGAGAGAGATGGGAAACAAGGGGGAATCCAGAGGGGAACAGGAGCCAGGGGAGACACTAAAACGTGCCTGAGAGAAGAGGTGTAGCGAATTAAAGGAAGAGGAAACTGAGGGTGGGATAGGGTGGCAGTGTTTAAATGTACAGAGGGCAAAGAGGAAAGGGTTTATTGCAGATAAGGCACAAAGTAATGGTTTCCAATTACCGCCAGGAAGATTTCATTTAGCCACTTGAAAGCCATCTAGAAATAAAGGATAATAATGCACTAAAGCAACATTTTGGGAAAAGATGCCAAGCCCCAATGAAGAAGGCAGAACAGCACCAGTCAGGACTGGCCCAGATATGACTGATTTCTGCCTTGGGACAGCTGTTTGATTCATCTGCCAGTGGTGTCAGCCTGTGCACTGAAAAGGCTATATCAGCCCTGGACTGCACCTCCTTAGTCTGTATCCTTCGTGCTTCATCAGAAATGGTTGTTATTCCTTTTTTTCTCCTTTTCAAAAAACTAGATTCTTCACTTCTCTTAAAAAAACACCCAGCTAACATTTCTGCTATACCAGAAGTACTAGGATGAAATAAGCAATATATTCACTTCCAAGGTACTTGTGCTACTCATGTCTCACAACTAAGAATTCCAGAAAAGAAAGAAAGGAATGATGAGATGCTTAGCTGCTTTATTTTATTTATTTATTTATTTATTTATTAATGAAATTAGAACATTTCTCTTTTACAATCATCCTACACAGATACAGATTGTTTTCAGGACTTTTCTGACATTGTTTGTTTCATTTAGGCTTGTTTCCTTATCTCAATGATGTATTGAAGTCTAAATGAAACCTATTTCCTTCATGTCTTTCTAACAGCTTGTCAGGAAGCATCGTTGTGCAACAGTGTCATCCACAATTTTAATGATGACATCTCATTTCAGAAGGGCGTGAGCTGAATCCCAATGAATAAATTCATGAAGTTTAACCTCTCAGTGACCCCATTTCTACTGTGTTTTCTTTTAGTCCCTCCCCAACTCATTAGCTCTCCTGACAAAAGCAGATGAAAACATGAGTTTTTATAACTGTGCTTGAAAGAGGAAGAAAACATGGGAAGAAGAAAGGTGGAGAGAAACATTGTGTTTGGTCTGGAAGCGATTTGCTGTGTGTTTGGAAACAAGACATTTTTTTTTTCCCAAGTATGGCATGGTTCTTAACTGGAACGACCGATCTTGGAGCAGAAACTACATTGACATTATGATTATGTTCAACCCTAACTAATTTCTTTCTAATGTACTGTGAATGGAATCAAGTTCATTGAGATGCAGCCTCTGTTCCAAGGACATCCTGTGGCTATCAAGAAAACCTCTGTCTCGCACTCCATTTTCAGCAATGTTTTCACTGTCAGCTGTCAACGTTAACACAATATTTAGGTTCTCTTAAAATAAGTCAAGCCATTTTGTCACCCCCTTACTGCTCTGACAACTGTTGATCCTGGTCTCAAGCCGCTTTAATGTAGTGCCAGTTTGGTGCCCAAATTACTCGTGACATTTCTCTTTGAGCATCTACTTTGTTTGCTTTTTACCCCTTAGTAAGACTACATAGAAGCCTAAAAATGTGTTCCTGGTTATATTTCTCTTGAAATAGCAACTTATGAATTAAGAAAACATACATATTAATCTGCATTTTGCAAATGTCTAGTGAGACTCATTTCTATGTCCCAACCTTATGCAGTGTTATATCTGTTGGGTGAATATTTCTTTGTACTGTGTTTATCAATTCCTTATCCTGTTACTATTGTTAACTTTGGCACTGAAAACAATCAAGTATGAATTTCAATATGCGTAAAATTGGAAATTGCCTTTTTTTTTTTTTTTTTTTGCTTACTATTGTACCATCAATCTTTCTGACAATCTTTTATATAACATGTAACAAAAGTCTATTTTCTCTATTCTATTCATGCATTCCAGTAAGGATATCTTCTGTGAAATTCTTGTTTATGCCAAGTAGTGGACTTCTGAAACTTTTCCTACTTCAATTTTCTGCAATACTACACTTACTGAATCCAATCAATTCCAATTTTAATTCCATTCATTATTTTGCATTTAAAATGAAAATAATTTAGTTGACTACCAGAGTACTGTAACTATTTAAAGAGTACCTATAACTTAACTTAAATTCTTCAATGTGTAGACAAAATATCTGTTATTTTTTCTTGTTATTCTATACCAGGAAACAGATATTAGAAGAACACGAGGGAAAATAGTTTGTTGATGCTAGCTGAATTTAAAGTGAATTGTTACTGGATGAAAACTGTTTAGAGCAAACTTATCCTGTTTACTGAAGGATTTTATGGGAAGGGCTCAAATTTGCATGTTGATTCATAAAATGTAGGAAGTCCTTCGCATCCATACAATAGGAGAAGAGGACTGTTAAAATATGAAGTCATCTCTCAGACAAGTAGCAAGGGAGGCAGCTATTTGCAGTAGGAGAGCAATCTGCAAGACTAGGAATAGTACTGTCCAACCTATGTAAAGTTTTCATTGCATACATGAATTTTCCGTATCTAGAACTCATATAAACACAGAAATATAAGGATTCTTCTTATCTTAAATTTCTGGACTACATCAAGCTTGTACAACCTGACTGTGATCAATAAACACAATGGAGTGATACTTACCTTATTTTCCCCACATGTCAAGCATTTCAATCCCTCTTACAACCTCTTCCAGTGCACGCACAGAGCTAGGCTGTTGCACAGCTCGACAGTGATGCTGGTGTCCCCAGGGACCAAGGCATGAGTTTCTCTTGATTTAGATGCACAGCAAAAGTCTCACATCCATACCCAGGGCAGAGCCTTGCTCCCTGAGTTTCTTTCCCATGCAGTCGCAGACTATCTGAGTTGAACTGTGTGAGCAACTGTTTGCTTTCTAACTGCTAATGATGGTAAAACTGAGGAGTGCAATGAAAAGAAGAGAAGAAATTTATCTGAGATGGCCAGGAACCAAAACTGTTCAGGTCAAGCAAAATGTGTCACTGTACCTCTCAGATTTTGAGCATCAGAACTGAAACAGATCTTTTAAAAAGAAACATCATAATTTTACATTTAACCATTAACAAGTGAAGCACATACAAGTGTGGTGATACTGCTTTAAGGGAAATATTTTTTCCAAGTTTTGAATATTTTTGTGCTTCTTTTTGAAGGAGCACAATTATCAAGCACAAGGTCACTGTATATTTTATTGTGGCTATAGATGTAAATTATTTTATTTTATTTTATTTTATTTTATTTTATTTTATTTTATTTTATTTTATTTTATTTTATTTTATATTATTTTTTGCTAAAAAACTTGACCAAAACAGTTTCTCCCTCTTGTTCTAAGCTCTGTGACACAAACGATCGTGTTTGTTGATGTATAAATTACAGCTGCCTATTCTTCACTGCTCAGTGAAGAAATAACTGACATAGCAGCTAGAGTGCATGGAGATAATGTTCAGTGACTGCTGCCAGCCCTGAGGACTGTGGTGTGAATATATTTTGTGAGACTCTCCCTGCTAAACTAAAGCTTCTTGCCCACCCAGAACTCTACAACCTCAAGTTTTCCAAGGCAAAGTGTGCTGTTAAAATATAGGCCCGGATCTGCCACTGATACAAGATGTTGACTGTGTGGGCTCAGCTCAGATTTGGTCACGGCGTCTTGGCAGCTTCTTAGACTAAAAGTTTCCTTTTCTTCCATGTGGATGGAAATGGTGAAAGAGGTGATGGTGTGAGAGCTGGCTGGTGAGGGGCAAAAGGTTTCTCACTAGTATCAGGCACAAAACAAGTCTGAGATTAGTCAGAAAGAACTGGAAAGTGGGAATCAAACAGGAAAACTGGGGAGAAGGGAGGAGGGAGGGGAAAAGGTACGGGTAAGGGGAAAATAATGTGTGGGTGTGGAGGTAGCCATCACACAGGAAGGATATGTGAATAACAGAGTTATCTCAGATGCTTAACTCTTAAATACACTGTCCCATCCTGATAAGTAGGACATCAGTGGGAGTAACGTGTAGGTTAAATGGCAGAGTATGACCCTCATCTAAAAAAGTAGCAGGAGGGGTTAAAAAAAAAAAAAAAAAAAAAAAAAAAAGGCAGAAACAATAAATATAAGATGAAAATCAAAACAATGAAGTGGCAAAGAGCTTTGTAAAATTTCATGCTGTATGCTCCACAAGCTAAGCAGTGGCAAACCTTTTACTCTCTGCCACCTAAATGTAACCGTAGTCTCCAATCTTTGTCTCATACTAGAAATGTATGTGCCTGTGAGGAGTTTTATACCAGCCAAAATTTACAAATATGACTGTTCATAAATGACCTGAAGATGCAGTTTTTCTAAGACATGACTGCACTTTTAAAGACATTAAATGATCTTTAAACTTTCTTTAAACATTAAACACACACACAAATGTGTATGCATGAACATGCCATTTTCACAGAGCTTGAGAATGAAATTTTCTTCTGTACTGGTCCTGAAACATCTGTCAACACATTGTTGTCATTTACCCAATGAAGTGCCTTTAGTTCAGCTGCTAGAAAGAACACGTACATTTTCAGCTCCTGTACCAATAGCATAGGTGATGTCCCTCAGGCACCAAAGAGCTTGACAGCTCATCTTCTAGAAGTGTCATTGCATGAACTGTAAGCCGATGTCAGGCACAAGTGTCCCCCTGTGACTGATATAGCTGGTATTACAAAGACCAGATGCCCAAAGGTGTCCAGTCCCAAGCAACCACAGTGACAGTATTGATAGAAAAGCAGCAGATACCATAAGTGTGCTTTTAAGAGATTTAAGGGGTTAAATGTTTTAAAGAGTGGGACCTGAGGAAGTAATAATTTCACCATCATCAGTCAAAAGATTAAGTGTTGACTTAACAAAGAGGTACTTAGGAAGAACTGAACTTGAATAGCAAGTTTAGGTTTAGCTGTTGTGGAATGTTTTGTTGGTCCTTTTTTTTTTTTTTTTTTTTTTTTTTTTTTTCCGTTAAATTGAGTTTATTGCCCACAGATGTGGAAAACTTAGTACCATTAATAGTTACAATCACTCTGTTCTCATGCTTGCATAGTGGCCTTACCATCATGGCATAGGCAACAATATTTATGGCAGACAGCATCAAGACAAATGAAAAGAGCTCTAATCCCCAAACCTCTCTTTCCTGCCATCAGCAACATTTGGTAGATACAAATTCAAAGGAATCCAAGAACAAAATTCATTCCCTAAGGATGTAGGTCAGTTTGAGGGGCTGCTGTAAGACTACAGGCACATTTTTCCTGGATAAATTATGGCTCGCAGTGTCAAACACAGACTCTAATTGAGTAAAATGTAGTGATCTTCCTCAGTAGGGCTTTGTTTTCAATTAGGACACAGTTCCCCTTGGCCTTGAATTTTTCAGGGGTGATTTCTGGATGAGACGAAGAAATCCTGGGGATTGAGAAGGCAACAGACTAAGGAAGCCTGAGGACCCTCATTAACAATGATTTGTGCAATACAGACTCACTGCTCAGCATAGATGTGGCTGTCCATCCCTGTATGTTAAGGCAGCATCAGGTGGTCCTAATTATAGGCTTTGCTCCAGGAGGCTCTCAAAGTGCTTCATAAACTGCTTACTAAATCTGAGAATATTTAGCAATGGTATTTTAGTAGCAGAAAAGACCATTTTGATCACATAATGTGATCTGCTACATAGCACAGGCTGCTTTCACCCTGTAATTTCTGCTACAAGCCCTAGTTCTTAAACGGAAAGAGGTTTTCTATGAAAGGAAGCCATAAGAAAAGAATGAGTAGACCTTTATAGATATTGAAGCAATCTAAAAAACAAACAAACAAAAAAAAAAAACCACCCACAAACACAAAATAAAGTTGATCTTGTTCCTTTTTCAGCAAGGTAGACAGACTACATCCTTTAACTCTTCTTGGCCCCCTGCCCACTCCTTTGTCCTCTAAAACTGAGTCTGATTTCTGTTGTCTTGATAATTATCAGCCTAGTTTAATTGCTGTTGTCTTTCTTTTCATGGCAGCATGACTTGATGAGACTGTGAACAATGCCTCTTGTCTGACTTTTCTTAACAACAGTCATAAAAGGAAAAGATACAAAACTTTCCACTGGCACTGAATGACACATGCATTCTCTGCTAACGCAGAATGAAATTATATTTCTACTAGCTGCAAGCAATTTCCAGTATCTTCTCATTCTGTGCATTTTCAAATGTTGCACAACCAATAAATGATGGAAGAACTTTGCAACTATATCAAATTAAATTGCAAACATAATTGTGTGGCCTGACTGAAAAAGCCTGTTATTTCTTGAATTAAGGGATTCATTTCTTTTGCTTCCACCTAGATAAGGCTATATTTTTCCTCAGGCTAATGAAGATGGTACAACACAAACAAGAAAGTTTTGAGTCCACTTGTGATTAATATAAAAACTGTATTTTGAAAACTTGCATGTCAATGTCCTAATGCTTTGAACCTCACTGAGCTCTTCAGGGCACAGGAACAGCTCAGTTCCCCTGTTAGCTACTATTAAATACTCAGCCAGGGGCACAAATATATCTCTTCTCCACCAAAGCCAGCCTAACACACCCACTGATTTTCAGCACAGGCTTTGCAAGGAAAGGCAGGCCTAGTGACAGGGAAATGAAGGACTTTGTAGAGTGTGGCTGCTCCTGGGCACTGCCCTTGCACATTGCTCATGTTTCTTCTCACTGTGGCTAATGGCACTGTCCTGTGTCCTGGACATGGCTTGGGAGTCAAGAAACCAAACCCCACAGCCTGGGTGTAGACACATTGTTTAGGAGATTAAAGTCATTTAAGCATTTCTAGAAAGTTTCTGAACATGTTTAATGTGCTAGAATGGACAAAGAGTTCCTCTGTGCTTTTTTAAATGGCCAAATTAAGCTGTGAAATAAACGCTTGGGTATGTGTGACAACTCCAGTACACCATACACATTTACAAGGCTCCTTAGTGTTGACTTGGTTTAAGTAGGCTGAACCCTAGGCCCCAGGCCCTGCCTACTTCCCTGTCCCCAGCAGCCACTGCTCCAAATTCAGCTTGGGACTGAAGAGGCGTGTAGGCCTGAGAATTTCCAGTGCAAACAGATTGGCCAAAACTGTGTTTGTATTAGCTATGCAGATTTCTTAAAAACACAATAAAATTATAAATAAATCCCAACTGGAAGATACTGATGGCAGTGGGCATATGCCAAATTGAAATTCAGTAAAATTTAATTTTCTTTGGCCAGCTCCTCAGCCAGCATAAATGCTGCCTCTCAGAATTTGCACTAGTTTCTGCAAGCAAGATTTGTCCCGAAGCATCCACAAAAATGGAAACTACAGTTTCTGAAATCAGACTTGGAAACTTAGTGATTCAACTAATTAATGACAATGATTTACTGGAGCAGCTTTGCTCCTGACTGAAATGACATTCTGCTAGATAAGAAACTACAGAACTGGAGATAATTTGGGGTTATAGACTTACTCACCAGTATATGGATCCCATAAAAATTAACAGTATGACTCACATAAAAATTAATAGTATATAACCTATCACTTTTTAAAACATTTAGATCTTCAAAACATAAAAATACTGGCTAAAATTTATATTTCTTTCCCCTGAAGACCTGTCCTATGTATCTTGCTGCTTTT